TTAGTGGGTGATCTAAATTGGAATTGGCTAAACCCGCCGGCCGTGGCCACAAATTTTGCAGATGAATTTAACCTGTTTCAATTAATAAATGTCCCCACAAGACCCAACCTAAAAAATCCGGGACAGTCATCTCTGCTTGACGTCCTATTGACAAATGGCCCCTCACAATTTCGCACTGACTGGTGTTCTGGGTAATAACCTTAGTGATCACTCCTTCATTTTTGGGGTGAGATCATCAACCAGACCCAAAGCCCCCCCTAAATTGGTTGAGAAGCACTCCATGAGACACTTCAGCACTCAGGCATTTACTAATGATGTGCTTCACTCGGATATTGACAAGGTCTGTGATATTCCAAACCTGACTACGGCTTGGGAGACTTTCAGGTACACGTTTCTCCAAATTCTTAACAAACATGCTCCGTTGGTTAAATTTAAAACTAAAGGCAACCGTCCACCATGGTTTGATCCTTTGATTACAAAGCTCATGAAAACTAGAGACAAGGCTTGGGCATTTGCTCAGAAAAGTAATTTGGTCAATGACTGGCTAGAATACAGGATTTTAAGGAATAGATGCGTCAAAAAAATACGGCATGCAAAAAATGACTACTTCTCTTCCACTCTCCTTGAATCTCATGGAAATGCCAGGATTTTCTGGAAAACAATCAAATGTATCGAAAAGGCATCCAAAACAAATAATCTGCCCGTTCAGCTTAACCGAAATGGGGAATATTTTTCAGATCCCCAAAAAATAGTTGACAATTTTAACCTTCATTTTTCTGAAGCTGGTACCCTATTTGATAATGTATTGGGAGTGACCCCTGCTGATGCAAATTCCTACACCCCTATTCAAACATTAAGCGAATTTAGTTTTCAGCCAATCCACGAAAGTAATGTTCTGAAACAACTGTCCTAACTCATAGGGTCATCCTCTACCGGAGCAGATAGAATTCCCGTCTTTGCTCTACTAACTGTTGGTCACCTAATATACAAACCTATAGCCCATATTTTCAACCTGTCCATCAAAGAAGCATCAGTTCCTCTAGATTGGAAACATTCCTATGTTCGTCCACTTCACAAAGGGGGTCCTAAAGATGATCCAAATAACTCCCGACCTATCTCAATATTGTCCCCGTTGATGAAAATTTTTGAAAAATTAGCAGTTTCCTGTCAGCCAACAATCTATTACATCTAAAACAATCTGGGTTCCGAAAAAAATACAGCACCACATCTGCTGCATTAGACTCTCTGAATCACATTTACAGTAGCCTTGATAATAAGCAGCACTGCGCCTGTCTTTTTCTTGACTTGTCCAAAGCTTTTGATACAGTAGACCACAACATCCTGCTTTGTAAAATAAGTTGCCTCGGTTTTTTCGAAAATACAGTAGAATGGTTAAAAAATTACCTCTTTTCTCGCACCCAAACTGTATTCACAGATGGTTGGAGGTCAAACAGTGTTAAGATAACAAAAGGGGTTCCACAGGGTTCTATTCTCGGCCCCCTCTTGTTCTCTCATTATGTAAATGACTTGGGCACTGAACTGGATTATTCCAGGGTTAATCTTTTTGCAGATGACACGGTACTGATTACTGCTGGCCGCTCTCCAGATTACGCGATTGCTAAGCTCCAGAGTGATTTCAACAAACTACAACATCAGCTAGTTGCTCTTAAACTAGTCCTAAATCCTGCCAAAACCAAGGTGCTATGCTTCTCACCAGGACTAAAGCGGGAAGTTCTTTTCCCCCAATTACATTCCTTAAATAATGATCAAATAGAGCAAGTCAAGATCTATAAGTATCTTGGGGTCATCCTGGATTCAAAACTGAATTTTGAAGATCACATTTATTATATTGGGAAAAAGACAAAAAAAATTGGTTTTCTATATCGACACAAGCACTGCTTCCCCCCTATGTTCCGTTTGGAATTGATAAAAGCTACCATACTGTCTCTACTTGATTACTGTGACATTGTGTGTAAATCAGCCCCAAGTACTGTACTGAAGAAACTTGACTCAATGTATCACTCGGCCTTAAGATTTGCATTGAACTGCCCATATAGGACTCACCACTGTGATCTCTACATTGGGTCAAACTTAACATCTCTGAATGTTCGAAGGCTTGTGCACCAGATCTTATTTATTCATGATGCACTTGCAAAAAAATCCGCAGATTACCTGCTGGATCTCATCTCTGTTTCAAAGAACAAATTTGACCTAAGGTCTACACTCATTTACCAGCTTAACATTCCCTATTGCCGTACATATACTGGAGGAAGGGCCTTTGCTATTGATGCCCCCAGGGTCTGGAATGCTGTTGCCAATAAATTGAAACTTGAGTCACTTCCTATGAGATCTTCACTCAAAACTGCTCTAGAGGAGTTGTACACCCCTAGCTGCCAGTGCTATTCAGTGGCCTAAAATAAAATGTTTAGCTCCGGATGATCGCTACAAAGTATGACCTGTGTTTTGATTTAGTGTGCTGATCTTAAAGGTGCATTGGAAAATTATAATACTCCTATTGATGCTCCTGCTGTTGTAGGGTGGCTCATGCAGCCAGCTATGGCTGCAAGGTTTTGGTAGTACATGTTTATGCCATTTATTGTGAAAATTCCGTCACAGTTCCTATGATTGCTTTTTCATTGCTTTCATGGCTTTATTTTGGTGATTTCGAAAAGTGTATTGTTTTAGCCATGTTTGTTTGTTGTAGTACAGAGTTAGACTGATGGCCTTAATCTAAGTTGTTTTATGGTTGTTGTTGTTGTTGTTTGACTTGCATCCCACTGGGATTTTTGCACACAGCGTTGGTGTACGGTGATTTTTCTGCAACATTTTGCTGTCTTTTCTTGGATTTCTGTTTGCACTCACCGATGGCCACTGCGGTGGGCCTGTTGCCCGCTGACGTGCCGCCTGCTCTGGCGGCGGACGCCACACGGGGAAGCGGGCCGGCAGCGCATACCTGCTCGAGGGGGATGCGGCTCCGGTAATGGTCTTGGTGGCCGTTCATCGGGCCCCACCCCCGACGCCCGTTCGGCACTGCCGGGTGGAAGAGGCAGTCGGACTCCTTTTTTGTTGTTGTTGGGGGTGGTTATTATTCTTGTGGTGCCTGGGAGGCCGTGCTGCCCTAAGGTTGGGTTAATCCTAACAGCCGGTTTTACCTTCAGGCACAACCAATCTTAGTTGTTCGGCCTTGGATCCGGAGTGGGGGCCCGCTTGCGTTGTGGTTGCAGCTGGGTTGGCTGGTTTTTTCACGGGGGGGGGGGGGGGGTGATGTAGAGTAGTAGAATAGGGGAGTGGCGTCACTTGTCCTGTCCAGTGCGATGACGTCACTGGATATGACGTCATGCGCTCTGGGTGGCGCAATGATATCACAGCTCCTGGAGTATAAAGGGGGGACCCCGTGACGTAAGTGGGGTCGTAGCTGGAGAGTAGGGTCGGAGAAGGGGTGGAATGGGGAGCGAGGGGCAAGAGGGTAGGAATAGGGGCTAGCACAGCGCCAGGGCTGGACGCGGCTGTGCTCCTCGGTCGGCCGTGTTGGCTGATCTCACGGCCGGCGCAGAGGAGGCAGCGCAGGTCAGCCGGCTGTGTGAGGACCCAGTGGGAGCTAGCCCGGGACCCCTAACCCCTGGGAAGTGGTTCACCCCCTTGTATTACAACCCCCCTGATAAACTTACGGCGGAAGCCCTTAACTCACCTCCGTCTCCGACTGAGTCATCTGGAAGTCTTCAACAATTTTAACATTAATAATTACGTTTCATTACTTGATGAAAGAAAGTTTTTTGTAACTTGGAATACGTGCTTAGGCCCCCTCATAGCCTGGTAATCCCAAGCACGCATCTCTCCATGCTTTCATCATCAAGGTCTATCCACAACTGGTTGAAAATAAATGTGATGATATACCTAAGCTGTGTATGTTCTATTATAATCTGTTCCTCTCTGTTTCTCAGTGTCATTCTATTTTAATCTCCCATGCTCCTTTGCATCCTTTTCAGTTTATCAGAAAATACAGAACTTTCAATGTAAACATATAATTAGTTCATTCGTAATAAAGTTTTTTTTTCAGGATTAGATCGCGTTAGTATAAATGTGTCATAACCCTCCAACAACCGACACGGCCAGTAAGGTTTGAAACCTAAACAAAACGTGCCAATTAGTTACTGCTTCTAACCCAAACACTGTTTAACATGTGATAGGCTTTCACGACCAATATCATCCATAATACAAGTTTTTTGGGTTAGATCGCGTAAATATATGAAAGTTGTGTCGATAAGTCCGCCACCACCCGACACAGCCAATTAGTAAGGTTTGTCATGGAAACAGAAACAGGAGGATTTCTTCACAAATATGGCTATCGCCTGATGAAGCTGGATGTAATTACCGGCGAAACGTCGTACTCAGATTGTAAATCTTATGACTTTGCTCTCCAACACAAAGGTGTGGTGTACTAGTATACTACACTATGCACTACACTATACACTACACTATACACTACACTATACACTAGTATACACTACTATACACTAGTTATGTTCAAGCAACGAATAAGCATGTTCTGTTTACGTAACAAACCTTACTTATTGGCTGCCTTGGGTGGTGGCCGGTTTAACGACACATTGACATTTTACGCGATCTAACCCAAAAAACCTCTAGTATGGATGATATTGGTCCCGAAAGGCTACCACATGCTAAACAATCAAACTGGAATCGCGCTGTACCAACCACTGTGCTACTTCTCTCCCTCCACATACACACTCACACTCTCGCACATATGAGACTGACATGTTTATTGTCATAGTACTCAGGTTTATTCATGTAAGATATATGTCAAAGTACGGTGCGATTAAACAAACAACTCCAAAATTACAATTGCCCAAGTGACATATACTTGCAAAGCCCCACAGACGAAATGAACTAAAATCAAGATAAATGTAATCATTAGCATCATGAGAAACACATTAATAAGAAGCATGCTATCGTTAATTCATGTTAAGTCAGACTTCTAAACGCTAGGTTAAAGCATACAAATTAATTGCAATTCAAGCACACTAGTCGAGACAGTCATGTGATTATGCACAATTCTAATTCACCACGATTACATAAATGTTTGCAATCACCGCAGGACTGACCTCATTCGAGGTCCAGCACTGACAAAAAACTAATCGGGTTGCCTTGATATAAAACGTTTTCACGATGCGATGTAATTCACGTCCCTCTTTCGTTCAGATTCGCCGATAGAAATCGTAATCTCGCACTGTGAAAGGGCCACGCACATGGAAATTCATTTAGATTGTTTTCAATAAAAGTGGCCAAGTTTTCTCACTCAAACGAGAGCAGGGTGATACGTTTACCCAATCATCGCCTCATGTCTATTTCACAGCCTTTAAGACAGCGGTGTAAACGCTACACTCCGATGGCAGGAGCTGGTCACTAAAATATGATACTCATTTTGTGCAATCAGGAAAATGAAGGAGATGGGTCGGGTCCTTGACTGGCACCACAAGTCCCCCCGATTTTTTAAATATGTAATCATTTTTTGACAATTGAGTTTGTATTTAAACAGCTTCTAAATCCAATCACATCTCAAGCCCCTGTACAAAACAATGGTGCGTGTGCATCATGGGGAGAAAGGAAGGTGTGAGTAGTTACTGGTCTTGTTAACACTGCAGCATGAAGCACAATAAGAGAATTGTATCATCTGACTAAACGAAAAGGTTCCATAACATGCGACATGGCATCTATGGATACGCACCGACTGCCTCACATGGAAACAGAATTGTACGATTATAAACGGGAAAATCCGCAATGGGCACCTTACGATTTTGACAATAACGAGTTACAAACGTCAAGAGGCTCCTTCGCGTTTTCCATTTTATAGATTGTTTATGTTACAATAACCTATTTAGAAGGCGAGAGCACGACTCACACGTATCACAAGATGATGACGATCTGCAGCCCAGGTGGTTTCCACCATGTAGATCTCAGACGGTCTTTCTTGATGGTTTCCACCATGTAGATCTCAGACGGTCTTTCTTGATGGTTTCCACCATGTAGATCTCAGACGGTCTTTCTTGATGGTTTCCACCATGTAGATCTCAGACGGTCTTTCTTGATGGTTTCCACCATGTAGATCTCAGACGGTCTTTCTTGATGGTTTCCACCATGTAGATCTCAGACAGTCTGTCTTGATGGTTTCCACGATGTCTATCTCCAACATTCGGCCCTGATAACGTCCACCTGTAGTCGTCCTTAAATCCCCGAGCCACCGCCCCCATTGTGGGCCTCACTCTCCCTTATATCCCCGCCCGACCACGCCCTGGTAACTTCCATCACTTTTCCCCGGTAGATTCCTCCAGAAGACTCAACCCTCTTCTGCTTCCCATCTCGAACTTTCCCTTGTACAGTACCCTGCACCTGTTTCCACCCATCTACACTGACCCCCCTATAACCCTTGCCATATCCAGTACCCTACACAAATTCTAAATGTTTACAATGGCATGTTTTCATAATTGCTAAAATACGTAATGCCCTGCAGTAAAGTTATGTTCACATTGTAGAGGGCAGTAAGTTGTCTGAATATGTTAGGTGGACGAAGTAATTTAGGTTACTTGCTAATGCAGGGGATGCCATTTATGAGAATTATGAATGGTTCTGAAATATTAAAAGTCCGAGTTACTCAATACAATTTCCAAGCACCTTCTTCCAAGTTGGCTTTCCAAGCCCGAAGCAGCCCACTATTTGAAGTCCCATTCCTATGTTGACTAAACTCAGTATTCATCAAGGTGATCCCTAATGACTAGCCGGAATTATATATAATGGTGCCTCCCAATGACTAAGTTGTTGCAATGAAGTCTTGTGCCAATGCTAATAAATACATTCACTGTGTAACAAAAAAATAAAAAAAAATCTTCCTGGGGAGAAATCATTATTTCCTAATTGCTTATGCCTCAAAAGTACAGAAAATGGCCATTATTCCCCACAAACTTTGCTTTTTGTGACCAGGACAATGATATTTTGAAATGTACATATTTTCATTGACAAAACATGTGCATTTGTGTCATTCCTTCACGTAAAGTCCTGGTTACAAAAGCAACGTTTGTGGGAAATAACAGCCATTTCTGCACTTTTGAGGCATAGCAATTAGAACATCACACTATAACTTCCCAGAAACAAAAATCGTCTTACATATAATGAGAGAACCCACAACAGCAATAGCATTCCTATTGAATTTTGAAATATAGAAGGATATATTTTCTCATAATAAAGATCCAATTGGCTAATGAAGATGAAACTTATTTATAACACGAAGACAGAAAAGGACAAAATTAGATCGAATTGAGAAAGTATTCCCATTTGATAACTTGCCAATAGTGTTGACATTACTTTTTATGCAAGTCTGCAATCGCCTCATCCTTTGTAATTTTTGTCCAGCCATCTGGAATGGCGCCACTGCCTTTGAATTGCAAATTGTAAAACTCCTCTAGGTCTGACTTAAATCTGCAGACAAACCATTTCCAATATGGCTGCACGGTTAAGTCTGGCGTGATGCTCCAACTAGCATGTTCTCGCCCTATTGTGCGATAATCCTTATATGGCATTATCTTGCCATCAGGAAGCACATACAAGATATCACTAGCAACTAAACTCGTACAAATATCAGTACAAAAAAAATTTGTTTCATGCCAGCTCCACCCTGTAACTGCCTGTGGCCGATGAATCGGAGTGCAGTGGTCCTCAGCATGATTGAGTATCGTGTTTGTACAGAGTGAATCGCAGAATGGGCACTGTGCCCAGCACCCACTCATTTGCTCACATAGCATGTCATGAGGTTTGTTCCTTACATGTTCTAAATCCCTTAGGGATGCTGTAGAATATTGTGTGTTCAACTGTGTCACCATTGTTTCCATTGCTTTGGTTAGTTCATCTGTCAAGTAGGCAATGTCATTAATGTCTTTGTAGTCAGCTATAACCAGACCGTGCCTTGGGAAATTGAATTTGTGATCAAGTCGTTTACTAAATTCATCCAGCCACGATGATGCATCGCCTTTGTTTGTCTGGACAGCTGTGGTTGCATCAGCGATCACATTGACAACTAATTTTTTTTGAAGCTCAAGACACGATTTCAATATTTTGTTAATTTTATTATTTTCTTTTGCTGAGCAATATTCTTCAACACGTTCTGTAATGTACTTAACAAAATATTGTTGTGGTTTCTGAATATATTCATTAAATTCCTCGAACATTTCCTTCTCTGCTAAATGTATCAATATGTAGTTTTGTAATCTTGATCGATTGCCATTGAATGCCTGACACTCTGATTTCATTTTGTCGACGATGTAAAGGCTGGCTTGGTCACAGACTGCCTGGTGCATGGCTGCTTTAAGTTTTACTGCACAAAGTGTCGGCAAAGATGGTGGTGTTTGTTGCTCCTTTGCATCTAATCTTAAAGCTGTTGAAGTACTCTTCTTTCTTGCTGCTGAAGTATATTAGAGGATCGTTTGCCCTCTGGAAATCATCATGTATTTTCTGAAACTTCCATTCAGCATTTGTCAAAATGCATATTGCTAAATCTAGCCTGTTTGTATTAGTGAGCTTCAGTTTTGCATTGTGTTCGCAACATGAATCTACAGTTTCCTGCACACATTTAATTACTTCATGTATATTGTTTTCATTGTAACCAAGCTTCCGATTCTCAATATGTTTAATAACAACATTGGCTGCATTTTCTGCGTCCTCTGTTATTTTTTTGAAAATATTTGTCTGCTCTTGATAACGGGAAAATGGAAGCCAGTCCCAAATACCATTTCGTTGAATCTCACGTGATTCATTATGAAACATTTTCTCCACGTTAGTGGATATGCCGTTTTCAATTTGAAACTCCTTCTGAAGTATATTTTGTACTTCAATTCTAAAATTCAGAATTTTAGGTGCCAGAACACTGTTTTTCACTTCATCCATCGATTCTTCCCACATTGTATCGAACTCTTTCTCCAATTGGACATCTTTCACATCAGTGGTGTTCAGTTTGGAAGCCAAATCCTTGCACTTCTTCATCAGCTGATCCTCGTAGCGTGATCTATTTTGATCCACACTGTTCAGAGCACTCTTTTGCTCAATCAGATCTGTACATTTTTTGTAAGTATCAATCACAAGATCTTCCTTAATTGTTTCAAATCTATTTGCGAAGTTAGTCTTCCATTGAGTCAACAATTCAGCATCTTCTCCTTTGAAATATGTTTCAATTTCTTTCCTGGTCTCGTTGTATTTTGGCAAAACGGATTTCTCAATCATTGACCGAGTTAAATTGGACGTCACATCTGTACTGTTGTTAATTATATTATATTGCTTATTCTCCTCTTGAATAAGATGACTTCTCAGGCTCCAAGTCCATTTCCCATACATTTCTTCCAGTTTGCTATAAGCTGCGATCTCTAGGGTGTTCTTGAAGCTAAACAGAAAGTTTTCTGTGAGCAAAGCCCTCCATAGGTCCTGAATACGTGCTTTGAACTCTGAAATCTTTAATACATTTTTCCCTCTTTTAGAAATGCTAAGTAACATTTCTTTAAGATCTTTGACATTTTGGCAGTAGCTTGGATTTGGTGGAGCCATTGGAGGTTTTCCTTCCCAGAGATGAGCAAAGTAACAGGACGTGAGAGTCCACGTCAAACCGGATCACCTCGTCAAAAGATTCAACAGCGAACTGCTCCTGCTCTGCAGCCAAGCGCGTCATCTCATCGAGTTTCTCCTGGAGGCGTCTCCGTGCATTCTTCATTATTGTCTTGAGCTGGTCACATCCCCTACGTTTTGATGGACAAACACGCAGCTCGATGACAACTTCATCTGCCTCATTCTCAGAAACGCCTGCACAGCAATCTGCAGAATGTCTTGCATCTCTAATGGATTCTCTCCAAAAATGTTGATCACTGTCGCGTTGCCAAGGCCGATCACAAACGTAGCCAGCTCATTGTCACGAGTGGGTTTCGCATTTGATAGTTCTGGGGCTCGTATCCCTTCTGTGTCGACTATCAGCACAAAGTCACAGCCTAGCTCTATGCTGAACTCCTCCTCCACCTTCACCAACTGCATGTAAACGCCTCGGGTGCATCTCCCTGCACCCACAGGGAATTGGAGACCGAACATTGCATTTAGCAGTGTGGACTTGCCACTGCTCTGTATGCCCAGTATGGAGAGAACAAACAGTTTTTTGTTTCCGACTTTTTCAATAACTTTGTCCAAAACCGAGCCGATCCAAGTGAGTGGGACATGCGAGGCGTCACCGTCCACGAGTTCAAGAGGGAACCCAGAGAGCATGAAATCTGCTGCGATGCCTGGCAAAGCAGCTAAGTGTGTGTCAGCTATGCGCAGTGTCTGTGACGCTTCGTAGATCTGTCCAACTTCCCGGAAAAGGTGATCGATTCCAAAGGAAGAGGCATCACGTTTTTGTGATATTTTTTGCAGCTCTGCTTGTTTTGTAGCCAGCAAACTACTTTCATTTGTTTCTTTCTTGGACTTTACCATTTCTCTCCGAACCTGATGATACTCCTGATGAAGTTGTGATAATTCATCTTTGGAGAGGTTATCTAAATATATTTTTAGCCAATTCAGGAAGTATGCTTTTACTGTGTCTACCTGATGCTCCAGAATTTCAATAAATGTTCTAATTGCATCATTGAGAGGAAATCCTTTGTCAAGCTGGGCTTGCCGTAAGGATTGTTTTTCCATTGAAATGCTGTCCCTGTATTCCTCCACGCTTTGGTCCCCCTTTACTCTCAAGCGAGTGAATTCTTTATCTTTCTTGCACCACTCGTGCCACAATTTACCTTGAAGAGGCAGAAAAGTTTCCTTCATGGAAGGCAGTGGCTTGTCCTTGAGACAACTCAGCAAGTCGTCTGCCATGGACTTGCCTTGTTTACAATCTTCATTATCTTCGTCAACTTTGAAGCCGTGCCGTCGAGCAATGTTTGAGCAATCATCGATGTTGATCGTTTGTGTTGATTTAGCCAACAGATTATTGAGAGTTGACTTCAATTCATCCATTAACTCGGGCTCGTTTCTGTTCTTGACAGCAATTTTCACCTTTATTCCTGGCTTTGCACCTTTGATTCTCTCTTTGTCAGCGCATAGGAAAACGAAAGGCTTTGGGGAATTCAGATATTCCTGCAAAATGTGTTTAGCATCATCGTTCAGTTGTGATTCAGACAGTAAAACCACATTAATAGAAGATATCTCGTGTAGAAACTTCACCTGTCGTCTGTGTTTTCTTGCATCTCCGTGCAGATTGGTGAACGCTATGCAGTCATTAAAGACGTCATCGTCCATCCCACCTGGACAGTACCAGGCGATCTCTGTGACTCCTTCCATGAGGAGACCATTCTTTCTGCTGCCTCTGCAGTGCCGATGAAAGAAACTTCCATGGCTTTGCTTTCCAAGCAGAGAGTTCAGCATCTGCGATTTCGATGTGGGCGAATCACCAAATCTAATGAAGGACACTAGGGGAGTGTCAGAGTTAACAATTGCACAGCTTTTGGATTGTTGTGTCTTAGTGGATGCGTCACGATATTTCCAGCTCTTGTAAATCTGTCGGAATGCCCAAAGGGGGAATTCTATTTCTGTGCTACAAGGATTTGGAACTAAAAGCGGCAGTGCAAACTGGCAAAATGAGAGTTTGGTGTAAATATACTGCCTCACAAAATTGTCTCCACATTGGAAAATTGCCATTTGCAAATCCATGGGGTGAATGTGGGTTCGAGTATCATCTATACTGCTTAATTCAACATCATCACAAAGAAAGTCATCAATATTAGAGTGTGCATGTGCATACGCGGGCTCAGACAGGTTGTTTAATTGGGCGCTGTGAGAATTGTCATTATTATGGGTCGTCTCGTTATTTGTATTTTCATCGTGAAGACTAACATACCTTGCTCGATAGTCAACCATGATCAGTTTCTGCAGATAACAAAACACAAGTTCTTGCTCTGTGCTTGGAGGTTTTGTACACATTGTTGACTTGTTGACAAAACACACATCCCCTGTGTGCATTTTATTGGGGTAGTATTTCTGAAGCCCCAATCTTTTTAGAAGATTTATGAATTCAGTGTTATTTCTTTCATTCTCAGCCTCTAGTATCTGTGAACAAGTCAATGCGATATTCAGTTTCCCAGCACAAAGAGATTTCAAACCTTCCTCGAGTCGGTTCCAGTCAATTGAGACTCCATCATGGACCCGCACCACGTTTGAAACTTGGGTGCGGATGGTTGAACCCAAATGGGATTTCATAAATTCGAGATGTTCCTCTTTCTCCTCGGGGCTCCATGCATTAGACTGAGCTCCTGTGGTCAAACCGTTCAAGAGCACGTATGCCTGAGCCTTGAGCGTGCTTCGAGATCTGAGAGCCAAGTACTCGCTGTGTGCCTTGTCCACTTGGTGCTGAAGGCAGTCAACGTCTTGGTAGTCGAGGAGGCGATGGAACGATCTCTCCTTTGCACTGAACCCTGAAGCAGCAGCAGCTGAAACGAACAGGAGCTCCTCCTCCACCCGATTCATTTCTCGGAGGCAGCGGCACAGGGAATTGAGGGAAAATGTGACGTCATTGGTTCCCTTCACCTTTGCTTCATTCAGCGCAGTTTCAAAACAAGTCGATGCATCCGTCGCTTCTTTCAATCGTTCCTTTGTTTTTGTAAATGTCTCAGTGAGGGCTTTTAGCTCAGCATCAAGAACCCTGACTGTATCAGACCCATACACCCACTGCATTATCGAGGAGCGCTGGGGGAAGTTCTCCACTTCGTGTATGTTTGGCTCCAAAAGGCGGCGCATTTTCACGATAATACATTCGATTTTGTCACCAGGAGAGTGACTGTATGCCGATACAGCCCGCGTCAGGAATTCCTGAAGGGCTGGATGGGAGAGACAACCATCAATCCAGCTCCTGTTATTTGTTGTGCATTCGTATAGCTTCTGTTTTAGATCCCCGAGTATATCCAGATGAGCCTCATTGTCAGATTCTATCCACTGATTAGCATCTTGCATGATGGATTGGGCTTCAACGATTATGGCAGCCAATTGACCCTCTTGAGAAGTATTTGTAGTTCTATTTTTTAAGACTGTGTAAGCTGTTTGAAGATCACAGGCGAACTTCAGGACATCTTTAAAATTGCATTCATGATTGGACAGGACGATGTCCCATACTGGTATAAACCTGGTGCCTCGGTCGATGAGAGACCATGTCCTATTGTTGGATGCAATTGCAGATTTCCACTGAAGGAGATTACGAACGTCAGGGTCGCCCCCTATTGTGGTTACAGTCGTCTGTACCATATTGTTGAGCACCGGGCTGTGATGTTCAGAACCACTTGGACCTGGCGCAGTTGCCATTGCACCATCAGTATCAGAAGTCATACAACTGTCACAGTAAGCACCAATGTTTGGTCCCAATGACTCAGACAAGAGCCGTTGAATTTCACGTTTCTGATCTGAACTGAAAGCTTTAGCTGACGCCTTTCTGCAAAATATTCCTCCAAATTCAAGAGGGCCCTCATTTGCGTGAGAGCCGAATTTGAGGAAGAAGTTGCCACTCATGCTGTTTAATACTTTGCTTTTGAAAATTTCCATCGTATTTGCCAAGGTGTTCTCTATATTTATTAGTGCGTTCAGGGCTGTTTCAGACAGCCTGAGTTGTGACATTTGAAGATGTGCCGAGGCTAATGGCAGGTACATGTACTCTGCCCAGCAAAGATAGGAATTATCGGTTTGAGTGTGTTTCACTCCCTTAAGATTTAATGACTTGGCATGCAATGAGATTGGTCCACTACGCAAAGCATGGACTCTCCCATTTTCAAAGACAGCGCTGCTGAAGCCCATGATCCTCATTGTCTTCTCAAACAAAGATTCTTCACTGAAAGAAACAAAGTCGTGTTGTTTTGTCTCCGACTTGCCAACCAGACCCACCAGGCGGAAAGTTTGTGGGATTGCCAAGAGTTTTCCTCTCTTCTGTAATTCATCCTCAAGCTTCCCACTCAAGTAAACCCCCTCGAGAGCAAGACCCCCAGATGCGCTTTGTAAAATCTCCATATCTACCCGACACTCTTTTGAAACATAGTTTCCCATTGCTTGGGTTGGCTCATGAATTGTCTCGGACACGACAAAAGGCAACAGATTATAATTGTGTACATGTGAAGCGAAGCTCGATGCTTCTTTGTTACTTTCAACAACATCAGCATCAATCTTAAGCATTTCATCAAATGCCTGCTTTTCCCGCAAATTATGGAAAGGCGAGTCCAGTTTTCCACAGTCCTGCAGGTCGATATGCAGCAGGGCCGGTGCATCAGAAATGATCTTTGGTGCAAGTCCATCATTAGCCTGGCTTGTGCATTCCTCTTCTTTCTCTGTAGACATTTCCTGGGGAAAAGCGTGTTGTTATTATAATATTCATAACGAATTACAAACACCTTAAATTACGCGCTATTTCTAAAGAATAAAACAATGACGACAGAAACGTGCATATTACGAGTGCAGCTGGCAAGTGCAGGCACATCAAAGCAATGGACTTTTCTGCTCCTCACTGCCCCCCAAAAACATAGTGCACACGCGACCCGACCCAGACACCGGCCAGCCTCCCATTGGATCTGGACCAGATGGAATATCCTATTGTACAGCCATGGAAAACTGCACATTGTACTTTATCAAAGAAAACGTTAAATATTATAGGGGCCAGAGGATATATAGGTTGCACCCTAAAGCAATTGCTCTACCTCCTGGCCACACAGCTTTACCCAGACCTGGTCACTATCATGAATATCATTTCATGACCCGCGAAAAAGGGCAACGAAGAATATCCTAAAGCTCTGGCCTCAGATATGATGTGCGAATGAGTCCACAGCACAGTGTGCTAACGCTAGGCCACAACTCCCACGAGAACATTATATTTATATATAAACAACTTTAAATATATTGAAACCCTGGCTGACAGGTCCAACTTGACACGATTTCTGTTAGATTAAATAAAAAAAAAACAGCTACCAGATACAGTATATTTGGTCCTATGTAATACAAAGACAAAGATCCCCCATATAGCCTTAACAGACTGTTTGGGCAAGTGCTGTTAGCGAGCACCTATGAAGGCCAGCACAGTATATGAGGGGGTATGTGTCCAGCACCACTTTCGTCCGCCTTTTACTCCCCAATGTCAATTTTTACACATCGCACCAGGTACTCATTTGAGGCTGAGTCCACCTAGGGGATGCCCAGGACCCGGTTCAGATATTCGTCACTGGTGTTGGTGGCCATGAGTGGGAATCGAACTCGGGTCACTGGCTTTGTAGCGCAGTGCGCTAACTGCTACAATACTGCTCCCCACAATGTAATGCACATTAAGTGACACACACATGTGGAATATCATATTTCTATTATTTGTGTTTGCACGTAGTTCAGGAACGTTTCCTGAACTACGTGGTGGGAAAATGTCAAATAATATAGGAGCCAGGGGACATCTCTGTCGCACCTCAACGCGAACAGTGAATGGCTCTGACTCCGAACCACGGAGCTTTACCTGGGCCTGCCCACCATTATGAAGGTCCTCATTGATTGTTGGCAGAGGTTCAGGGACCCCGAAAGCAAGAAGAACTGCCAAAGCCCTGGCTTGTTGATGGTATCATAGGCCTTGGCCAGGTTAATAAAGCGAAGATGTAGGTTTTGTGGAAATTATCTACGCGTTTGCTATAGCAGACAGACAGAGACTATTACGACTGTGCAGGACCGCCCTGGCCTGAAACCGCATTGGGACTCCGCAAGCCTCTCCTCAGCGTGCCTGGCAAGGCGATGTTGAATTATCCGTGCCAAAACCTTTCCCAGCACAATGTATGACCCCCCCTTCTTCAAAAGGGGGACCACCAGGGCATCCTTGAAATCCTGAGGAATCCGTACAGTAGCCCAGGCTGTTCTAATGATATCATATAGAGCAGTCTGCACCCAAACGCCACCCTCCCTCAGCAGTTTGCGTTGAAGATCCTTTCCAGTCCCTTTCCTGGTCTCAGACTCTGGATCACCTTTTTGGACTTCCTCAACAAATGGCACCAGAGCCAGCCACTCACAGGGGTTGACTACTTATTCCGATATTTGAGGCGCTGCAGCCCCAGCAGGATCATCCCTACATTGCCTCTCTATGTGTGGTCAAGGGATGGCTTCCTATTGATCAACCATGTCACGTATGCTGATGCTCTGGTGATAGATGCTCACTCCTAGAGGAGTTGGAGGATCTGTTGCTGAATCTGGAGGTTGCTGCGAAGATGGGGGGCCTTACCATCAACTCCACCAAAACTAAGCACCTGCCTGAGTATGTTGTGCAATCAGACACCTCTCACTCTCAACTCCCCATTGGTGATGGGGCAGTTGTGGAAAAAGTGAAAGGTTTCCATACTTGGAAAGTGTGCTAATTACCAGCTCCGGTTTGACAGCAGTGTTTTAACTTCGAATCTGTTGGGTGGAATATTTTCATCAACTGCTCTGTGGAACCTAGCTGGCTTGTCACTCCACAAAAAGCGTTGCGTCTTCTGGGCCCCACTCATGCCCTTGCTACTCTATCATTGTGAAAGTGGACCCCTTTAATGGAACATTCCAGCTGGCCTGTCTATGATCCATTGTGGGTTTAACCAAGCTGGATTTCGTGACAAGCACATAAAACCTTTTAAAGATTTGGGCAAAGTCCCATTGGTGAGCTATTCGAGCAGGCAAGGCTGTGTTGGCTGGGTCATGTAGCGCGCATGCCTAGCACACCGCATGCCCAAGCAGCTTCTGTTTAGCCACATAGAGAGAGCTAAACGGGCATGGCACAGGCCTACAAAAGAAATGGAGCTGATGTGGTACAGAATGCTATGGAGCTCAGTAGACTTGCCAATGACCGGTAGCAGCAGTGAAGCAGGTTCGTGAAGGACGCAACTGTGCAGTAGGAGGCAGTCGTCCTCCAATAACAGTGGAGGGCAGAGGAGTGACGCTTACCGCAACGAGCCATCAAGATTCTGACTCAGAAAGCTTTGCATCAAGACAAAGATGGAAAACACACGGATAATGTGCTGTATAAAGAGATTTTGTAAAGTCAATGCGTTGTTTTTAAACAAATCAATGCTCCTGAATGGTATTGTTCATTTCTTACTTACAGTCATTTATATTCACTATAGCATATAAGTACCATAGCTGAGCCTTCATCGATTATTGTTGAAGTCCGAAGGCCCCAAGCAGCGTACTTGTGAGCAAGCCTATTCGCTGAATAATGAAGAAGAGTGGGGTGAATGTACAAGCATGCTGCGTCATGTTTACCTGAACTCCATCTCGCAGATCAACAATTTCCATTTCAACATCATCCCTTTGCATTGGTGACGCCTGTGAAATAAACAGAACACAATTATGTTACGACTGATTTATTCGATTGTGGATATGGTGGCATAATGTCCGTTCTGGTGGCAGAGCAACGCACAAATTTCAATAATTGGCACCCATTAAAATAACAGCGATAGAAAATATCAGGTCATGGGGGGCTTAGAGTGAGAGGCCTATTCAGATGATGCGCATTTTTTAATAACAAAAAATAAAGTGTAGCTGCAGTTTCCCACCATACCGTGTTGAAGGCAAATACACAATATCGCCTGATGAAGCTGGTTGTAATTACTGACGAAACGTTGTACTCAGATTATAAATGTTGTGGCTCTGCTCTCCAACACATCGGTGCGCTGTACTGCTACACTATACTATACACTAGTCCTGTACTAGTGTAATAAAAGACTCTCTCAGGCAGTCTAGGTCTCCGTTGTCCTTTATGTGGGTTCTTGTCTCACCCACCTGCGCCTCTTCTCTTATTCACCACGCGCCCGCTCCGTGTGCCCCTTGCACACACTGCAGCCACACCGCTGCTCCTTGGGCCCCGTACACTCTGCCAGCTCCTTCCAGCTCATCGTGCTCCTTCCACACTGCTGGCTCTCCACTCCCTGCTAGCTCCTCACTCCAGGCTAACTCCTCATACTCCACTAGCTCTTCTCTGCCCACGTACACCGCTAGCCGATGGTGCCGTGGCCTCCTACCACGTGGCAAATGGCGCCACTCTTTCGCCACTGCCCAGCGTGGCCTCCCCCTATTTCCACTCTCTCTCGACTCCCAGATCGCTTCCGGCTCTCACCCTAAATCCTCCTTCTCACGTGACCCTGACTCCTCCTTCCCATACTGCCCCTGTCTCCACCCCCGCTCACCCCGACTCCCATTGGAGCCGAGGTGAGCAGTGGCTCCTCCCTACACGTCCCGTCGACTCGGGCTCCGCCCCCAATACTCCGGCCCGTGTGAGTGACGCGGAGGCAGCACCCAACCTGTCCTTGTTCGCATTACACTAGGAAGGAATTGGCATGTTATATTTACGTGACACGAAACCTTACTAATTGGCTGTGTCGGGTGGTGGTGGGTTTAAATGACACATTTATATATTTAAGCGATGTAACCCAGAAAATTTTATTATGAATGGGTTAGATCGCGTAAATATATAAATGTGTCGTTAAACCCGCCACCACCCGACACAGCCAATTCGTAAGGTTTGTCACGTAAACAGAACGTGGCCAATTCGTTACTAGTACAGCAGCATCAGTGTGTTGGAGAGCAAGGCCACAATATGTACAATCTGAGTACGACGTTTTGCCAGCAATTACAACCAGCCTCATCAGGTGGACAGCCAAATTTGTGGAGAAATCCTCCTGTTTTGTTCTTTAAATAAAGGGGTATATGTGATGACAACACTTGAGTGCTCTAATTGGCTGTGTCGGAAGGTGGCGGGTTTAACGACACATTTATTTATTTAGCCGATCTAACCCAAATAAAACCGGTAATATGTATGGTATGGGTCGCAAAAGCCTCCTACGTATTAAAGCGAATACACTGGTCAGGGCTAAGAGGCCGAGAAGAACGCGAAGTTGGTAAATGTCATCAAGGTACCTTCTTGCCATGTCTTGATGAGCTGCCCCATATAGGATTTTTTGTCGGACAGTGAGGATGCTATATCTCTATGTTTTCGCAAGCGTCTCCAGTCATTTAGCGCCAAGATCAGGACCACAATGGTTTATAAAGCCGGGAATAGCCCTTCCCAAGTTCTGACTTCTTAGTCATGGCAGGGCAGCTGTCATAGCCACAATCTGCTCCCGTTGCTGTAAGTACTTTCGTTACTGCGTTCCTGAACCTCTTTATATAATAGATCAAATTCCTCACCAATATTACTGGAGTCGATCATGTGCCCTTTCCAACTGTACAATCTACATTTTGGTGGTTTTAAACCAAGTGTCTGTATGCGTGAGAGAGCACGAATCTGAGAAATGCAAGAAGTCTTTGGCCCCAATGGTTGCAGAAGAATATAAATGAATGGACGCATGATTATATCGTTTGACCATTGAACGTTAACACTTACCAGAAGGGTTAAACTTGAGTTTTAAAGTCGACCATCTGGGTTTTCTCATACGGAACAGCAGGATGACAGTAAATACGACGAGTATCAGGGTAAGGAGACATGCCAATACGATGGCTGATGTGGCTGCAGCGTCGTCTTATAAAAGAGGAGAAACAACAAGCTGTCAAAAGCCAGAACGTTCAGAGAGTTTCATCTCAGAATCAGCATTTTTTATTTATCCTAGAGACATACATTGAGCTATTAAGCTCTTTTTTTTTTATAGATGTCGTCTTTGGGACAGGTCAGAGAGTTACAACGACAAAAAATGCCAATAAACAATTAAAGTACAAAGTCTAGGAAAGGTAAAAAAATACATAAAACACTAAAACGAAACAGTTTATTTTTATTTGATCCGGTAAAGCCCCGTGATTTTACCGAAATAATCAAAGAGTATGGATTTCTGCAGTCATGAAAGCTTCAAATCACAAATGATAGCTCAACGAAGTGGATAATCGTGTGGACATTAATTGTAGCCAAAAAAATATAAATGCATGTTTTCTCCGCACCTGCTGATCAGATCTTTGTGATACATTGCACTCTATGGGGAAATCCATTACGTTTTCATGGACGTCACATGTGTAATAACGATAGAGCCTACATGCGCTGTGAGCACTAGTGGTCACAGGAGGTAATGACAGGGGTATTGGTTGTGAGTGCGAAAGTCACTGGTGGATATGGGAATGATCGAGAAGGGGGCGCGGTTAGGTGACGGAAGAGGACGGTGGAGTCTGCTGGTGGAGCGAGCGTCCAGAGTCAGCAAGAATGATTGAGAAGGGGGGCATAGCCTCGGTTGGTATATAAGGGAGATGCCCAAAAGACTCGGGGCAATTGCAGTGGTGTCTCCCCCTGATGTCAAGTGAAGTGTCTTCAATGAAGTGCCATCTCAAGAGAAGTGTGTCAAGTTGTCATAACACATGTTTAGTGACATGGAATGGGTCACTATGGCGCAAAGCGCTGGTTGCTGGCAGAGAAGGGGATCTGCAGTTGCAGCAGCCCTGTCTGCCAGCAGGTCACGTGATAAGCTTGAGAAAGGGATGTGGGCAAAGGTGATAGAGGGAGCACATAAGGTAAAGCACGGGAACCTACTACTAGGTTCAAGAAGGGGGACGTGGCCGAAGGAGGAGCGAGGCCATGCTGGTTGGATAAAAGGGGACTCCAAGCAAAAGGTTCGGGGCTGTTGTTTGGAGTGGAACCCGTCGTGCTGCTTGAGTCTTCGTCACCGTCTTCACCTCCTCGGCGTTGTTAGCCAGGCAGCCTGTTAGCTGTCCTGACTATAAAGAAGTTACTCCTTGTGCCTGTGAAGGCTATAATAAATAGAGTGCCTCCTGCTACTAGTGTCTTTGAGTGACTCACTACACATGTGTAGTGGCGTAACACGCGGGGTTAGCAAAGAGAGGGTGCAACTGAGGTCACACAGGTGTAAGCGGGGAGAAATGGATTGGCGCCGGAAATGCGGCAGCAATTAGGGAGAGAAGCATTAATTGTGCGGGTGCATCTGGGGATGAGCAGGTGCAAGCGTTGGAACACGGGGTAGACACCGGAGAGGCGGGAGATGGAGACGATAAGAGAGAGAGCACATGCTGGAGGCGCCGGAGAGGCACCAGCTTAATTGGGGTAAGTGAGGATCCCTAATGAGGAGGTAGATATAAGGGAGTGTGCGGAACAACATGGAGAGTTGGTTGGTTGGTGCTCAAGGGATGAAGAACATAAGAGTCGGGGTGGAGATGTCTGGGACCTTTCCCTCCTCATCTCGTCCTCCCCAGCAGTGTTGGTTGATCCCCTGCTGGGGGCAGGGAAGAGGGTGGATGTGTGAGGGAAGCAGGAGAAAGATAGCGGAGTATAGAGTGCGTCAATATATAAATGTGATTGTAGGATGCAATTTGCATTTTAACGCTATGTAAAGCTAATGATGAACGGTATGATGATCCATAATACAGGTTTGTTGGGTTAGTTTGCATTAGTATATAAATGTGTCGTTAAACCTGCCACCACCCGACACAGCCAATTACTAAGGGTTGTCACTTAAACAGAACACTCTTATGATTTACTAGAACAGCACACAGGTGTGTTGGAGAGCCAAGCCACAACATTTACATTATTTTATGATGTTGATCAAACATTTACAATCTTTTATCTGATAAAGATGATGATGTTTCTGTCGCGAGCCTGTGAGTTCCAAATTTAACGTGGACAACCGAAATCTGTTTTGGAGTTCACCCTACAGCGCTAGAAATATCCTTACTACAGCACCATTTATGATCTCTGCATTTAAACACGATTTTGGGATCCTGCCTTCAGTTTAACTGCAGTGATCCATCTGCTGTTGGGTTACTAGGTTGTTGTTGTTGCTTCCACCGTAGGCTGACAAATCAAAGTATCTACTGCAAGCAGATGGCACCAGCTTGAGTGGCTGGTTAGCTCACCTGTGTGGGTCTTTTCATTCAGACAAACTCCCGAGTCGGCGTCTCTCTTGAGCCCCTTCATGCACTGACACACCGTGTCCTGGGCCACAGAGCAGGCGAGAGCCACCTCCTCATCTGCAATGAGAAGCAGAGGAGAATCAGTCCTAGCTATGGTTGTTAAATCGTGTCGTTTTCAATATTGGTAACAGATTCACAAAAGGCAATAGGCATATCATGTTCTTCTCTATTTATTTACTGGGAAACGAATGGCGCTACCATAGTGTCATGGTTAGAAAACGATGGATGTGTAAGGAGAGGCGAACGCTATTAAGTAAATTTCTATACGATTCATAGTCTACTTCAAATAAGTCGCCGCCATCCTCAAAAATGCTAAGAAACCCATTAGTAACATCTGCAGGGACGAGCGCTCTGAACCTTCTTAAATAGAAAAATAGAGATGACATTGTCATTCTGTCAGCCGACAACGGCAATGCCACGGTCATCATGGATAAATCCACATACTACAACAATATCCAGGACGTTCTTAATGATGGCAGTTATACTAAAATCAACAAAGATCCTACCATCCGCCTGGCTACAAAAAACAAAAATATCATCACTAATTCGACTTCTCTAATCGAAACGAACAAGCAGCTCTGTCTAAAACCATCGGCTGCTGGACAACCCAAATTTTATGGTCTTCCATAAAACCATGAAGAAGGTACTCCACTCCATCCTATCGTTTTTACCATCAACTCACCTACCTACAAACTGGCCCGATTTCTGTCTGAGACCCTGCTTCCATTCACGTGAAGTACCACCTCAGCAGTACGTAATACAGCTCACTTGGTTTCTCTGATCAAGGACATTTCACTGTCTCCAGATGATTTGCTTGTCAGATTTGATGTAGTCTCTATGTTCACCAAGGTACCTGTACCTGACACCATAGAAATCATTGAAGATTTGGTCCAACAGGGACTGAATCCTGATGTACCAACTTTGGTGAGGCACTGCCATACAAACACTTACTTCATCTGGAATGGTACATTCTACAAACAAAATGAAGGTACCCCTATGGGTTATCCCTATCACCAGTGGTAACGAATGTTTTCATGGAGAAATTTGAAACAGATGCCATCCTGACAGCCACCCCACGTCCTTCCTTGTGGAAGAGATACGTAAATGGTCATCTGAAGAGATACGTAGATGGTCATCTGGCCACATGGCCAGCCAACACTGAACCAGTTTTTCAACCACATCAATTCCATACACCCATCCATCAAATTCAGCATGGATGTTTTGATGGAGAAGAGGCCTGATGGCTCGTTGGGACATTCCGTCTACAGGAAAGCTACCCACACGGATTCCTATTTAAAGCCTGACTCCCACCACTATCCAGCCCAGAAGAACTCCCTCAACTTAACACTACACCATAGGGCCCACTGCATCTCCGACCAGCGCCACCTAGCCAGTGAACTGGAGCACGTACACCAAGCCCTCAAGATGAATGGATACTCAAACTGCACAATCTGCAAAGCTGTATCCGCAAACATGGGGAGACAACCATCTGATTACCAAATCAAAACCATCACCTTGCCATACATAGCAGGTGTTACCAAATAATTTCCCAAATCTTAAACAAACACAAGATCCAGGTCCAATTCAATACAGTACACAAAAACCGTGATTTAACCCCATCTGTGAAGGATGTCATTCCTGACATGTAATACCCTGGTGTCTACAAAAAGTTGTGTCTGCGGCAGCAGTTACATTGGCTGAAACGAAACGACATGTCTCGGACTGTGTTCGCGAACACGAGGCAGATTTAAAACACGGCAGAACCAATACCGTTGCAGTGGTGGATCATTGTTATAAAGCAGTGGGCTCGCACGATATTGTTTTTTTCCGAGACAAAAGGTACTCTGCAAACCTTTGGGCTACCATCAAAGATTTGTCCATGAAGCCATCCAGATATATAAACACAGAGACAATTTCAACCGAGAAGATGGGTCTAAGCTGAGCAATCATTGGAAGGACATTATTAACCAAGCAAAGTCGTAACTTGCTGTGGTGCTTCCATTCTTCCCTGCCGTCTAGCTGTGACCTCCGACTCTCTGAGTTGCATTGCCCTGTTGGGTGCCTCTGCATTGGCGGGCTGGGGTCTCGCTGGCATGACCTCCTATGCTCCCCTGGCCTCGATGTGTCGATGGTTCTGGCTGTGAACCACCGCCGTTGCGGTCAGCATGTACTACTGTAGTGCTAGCAGATACCACCACAGTCACTATGCACTGCTGTCATAATAGCATGTACCACCACTGTCGCTTGCCCTGTTTTAATCATAGCAGGTACCACCACAGTATGCACTGCTGTAGTGAAAGCAGGTACCACCACCACAGTATGCACTGCTGTAGTGAAAGCAGGTACCACCACAGTATGCACTGCTGTAATCATAGCAGGGACCACCACAGTCACTATGCACCGCTGTCGTTAAAGCAGGTACCAAAGTTCGTATGCACTGCAGTAGCTAAAGCAGGTACCACCATCTTCTTGGTTCTTTCGGTAAAGTCACGTAGAAGGGAAGTAATAAAATAATAAAAATAAAATATAAGTAAAATAATTCTCACGACGTTTCGGCCACAACGCAAGCAGCCGTCCTCAGGTGAAAACCAGGTCTGTCGAGGCGACAGTGTCTGAATGAAACAGCACACGAGCTTGGAGCATATATATAAGCTGGGCGCCTTGACAAAGGAATTTGCATATCAAGAGGAATTTAGCATATTTATGGAAAATGCAGGAATGTGATTAGTACTACAGGTACCACCACTGTATGCACTGCTGTAATACCAGCTACCACCACAGTCAATATGCACTGCTGTAATCATAGCAGGTACCAGCACGTTCAGTATGCACTGCTGTTGTTAAACCATGTACCACCACAGTATGCACTGCTGTTATCATAACAGCTACCACCACTGTCAGTATGCACTGCTGTATTAATAGCAGGTACCACCACATTCACTATGCACTGCTGTAGTGAAAGCACGTACCACCACAGTCAGTATGCGCTGCTCTTGTGATACCAGGTATCACCACTGTCAGTATGCACTGCCTTTGTGATAGCAGGTTACACCACAGTCACTAGGCATTACTGTAGTGATACCACGAACCACCACAGTCCGTGTGCACTGCTGTAGTGAAAGCAGGTTTAACCACAGTCGGTATGCACTGCTGTAGTGATAGTGTATACCGTAGATGTGTGTGTGCGTATGTCGATGTGTGTATGTTAGTCAATGTATGTGCGTGGTGTGCGTGTGTAGACAACTACTATTTTTAAATTAAGTTACTTTTCACAATAATAATGCCTGTTTCTAAGTCCATGTGTGCGTGTGGGTCGATGTGCTGGCTGCGGCGATGTGTGTGTGTAAGTCAATGTGTCTGTGTGTGTGAGTCAATGTGTGTGTGTGTGTGAGTCCATGTGTCTGTGTGTCAGAGTCGATGTTTTTGTATGTGTGAGTCGATATGTCTGTGTGTTTGTGTAAGTTGGTGTGCGTGTGCGTTAGTCACTGTGTGTGCGTCGCTCGATGTGAGTCAGTGTAAGTCCATTTCTTTCTGTGTGTGTTGGTCCATGTATGCGTGTGAGTCCATGGGTGTGTGTCTGTACGTACATGTTTGTGTGTGTGTGCGTAAGTTCACGTGTGTGTGTCAGTCCATGTGTGTATGGCTCTATGAGCGTATGTGAGTCCATCTATGTTTTTGTGGAAGTCTATGTGTGTCTGTAGATATTAATATTGTAGAGCTTAGACAGTATTATTGTAGTGTGGGCGGCGGGAGTGGCCCAGCCTGCCAAGGTGCCACCTCGGCCGGCTGGGCAATCTAGGCAAGGCCGGGGGCTCTGCACGGGACTAGGCCTCACCGCGGCAATGTTAAGTAAGTACTATTTTCTTGCTGCTTTCGCTAAACTCACGTACATGGAAACCTAATATTAAAATAATCACCTTGCAAATACTTAAATAATATTGTTTGTGAGCAGACAAATGTTTATTTTTTTTGCTACTTTCGCTAAACTTACATACATTCAAAATATTTTTTTAATAATCACCTTGCATTTATACAAACAATTATGTTTGCGTGCAGACAACTCATATTTCACTATTTACTTGCCTATTATTTTTATTCTTATGTGTGTGTGCTTGTGTCCTTGTGTGCGTGTGAGTCCATGTGCATGTCTGCGACAATTTGTGTGTGTGTACATCCGTGTGTGTGTATAAGGCGATGTGTGTGTGTTCGCGAGTCGATGTGTGTGTGCGTGAGTCGATATGTGTGTGTGTCAGTCGATGTGTGTGTGTGTTAATCAATGTGTGTGCGTGGTGTGTGTGTAGACAACTAATATTTCACAATTAGATTGGTATTTTTTTAAATTATAATGTGTGTGTCTAAGTCCATGTGTGTGTGTGAGTCCATGTACGTGTCTGCGTCGATGTGTGTGTGTGAGTCGATGTGTGTGAGAGTCGATGTGTGTGTTTGAGTCAATATGTGTGTAAGTCGATGTGTGTGTGTTAGTTGATATGTGTGCGTGGCTCCATGTGTGTGTGTCAGTCCATGTGTGTGTGTCTTAGTCGATATGTGTGTGTGTACGTCGATGTGTGTGTGTGAGTGGATGTATGTGTGTGAGTCGATGTGTGTGTATGAAAGTCCATGTGTGTGTGAGTCAATGTGTGTGTGTAAATCCATGTGTGTCAGTCGATGTGTGTGTGTACGTCGATGTGTGTGTGTGAGTCCATGTGTGTGTGTAACTTCATGAGGTGTGTATCTAAAGTAGAGTCTGTGTGTGTCAATCCATATGTGTGTGTCTGTAGGGCGTTGCGTGTGTGAGTCTATGTATATGAGTGTGAGTCGATGTGTGTGTGTGTAAGTCGATGTGCGTGCGTCGGTCCATGTGTGTACGTGGGTTCATGTGTATGTCTTAGTCGATGTGTGTGTGTGTAAGTCCATAATTGTGTGTAGGTCGATGTGTCTGTGAGTCTATGTATATGTGTGAGTCGATGTCTGTGTAAGTCTCTGTATGTGTGTACGTCGATATGTGAGTGTAACTCCATGTGTGTGTATCTGAAGTCGATGTCTGTGTGTGTGAGTACATATGTGCGTGTGTAAGTCGATGTCTTTGTGTGTGTGGGTCAATGTCTGTAAGTGTGCGTAAGTCGATGTGTGTGTCTGTCTTTTTCGCCAGGGCAACGCCGGGTACTTCCCGCTAGTTGGATATAAAATTAATTTTGGAAAAACCCCGAATATCTGGTCAAGTTCTCGTTTGGTTCATCTTTAAGTTACTGTTGTGAAATAACAATCGGTAGTTATTTCTATTATCGACTGTAAATTAAAAGTTCAGGAACGTATCAGAATTTTAATTTAGACTGGAGGAATCCAATGAGCTTTAAATATTTTTTTCCACAGATTTCCCGTAGTGATTGATCAGAAAGTTACAGCAATAAAAACTGCAAAAAACGATAGGCATGCAAATCACTGAAACAAAAAAAAACTAATTAAAGAATGTATAATCAGTACAATTTGCAAACATTTTTCAATTCATGCCGATTTTTTTTTACTCTAGATGCAACCTTGGGCAAGGCCGCAAAACAACGACAGTATCATACCACACCAACACAACAATGCACAGTCCCTCAACAACATTGCACATTAAAATTGGCGAGTAAGGATCAAAGTTCAAAATGAAATTATCAAATTTGGCTGTATCCTGCACTCCCAGAAGAGTCTTGTTTTTTGTGAATTTAGAATAGTTGCATGGTCGTTAGAAAATGTAGGGTTCATTACTTGGCAAGTGCATCTCTTTTTTAATGTTCTATAGGTACAATCGGTGAGGTTATTTGATGTTCTTGCATTATTTCAGGCTTTATCTTTCGTTTTCGTTAATTTAGAAATGTTCGAATCAAACCACGGTGGACGATCACCTTCTATTTAGAACTTTTGTTCAGGAGGCATGTTGATAAAAACTTTAGAGGAATTGATTCTGAAAAATATGTCCAAGCAGTTTTAAAAACTGGGATGTTGCTTACCGCATCCCAGTCAGAATAGAGGAGGTCATTTATACAGTAAATATAGTAAAAACAATTACTGTGTCAATAGTAATATTACAAAAATTACATTACCCTTACAATAACCGTTATAAACAACCTACACTATACGATTAACTGTTAATTAATTAGAACATTCCCGCAAATAGTACAGTTCAGTAAACTATTAGTCAACGCAGCACAGACAGCATTAACTTCATCACATTTTCATAACAATGAAGCGTATGAGGTGAACTTAACACTAAGAGCATTACTAGTCGCAACGTTAACAATGAACGTTGTAAATGTTAACGGTAATGAACTATAACTGAGAGCTTACATTGACTCGGTGTGCACGAATGAACAAACGGCACAACATGTGCCACTATGATTGGCCAAGGGCAGCCCTCTTATAGCGGCTACACATTCGACAGTCTCGTTAAGTTCCTGCATGGCGCGGTTTTGTTTCTCAGTTAAGGTTAAAGGGTAAAATGCTAAAGTGCAGCCTTGCCAAAGGGTCTCCACTAGAGGGAGCTCTAGGGTGTTTAATTAGAACCCGTTTAACTCTGTCACACTCACCAGACGTTGGTTTGTTCAATGTGGTTACCAGTAAGGAAATACACATTATTTGAACAACCCTACTTTAAACCCATGATTCATACAAACACGTATCTCAAACACAATGCAGATACGGCAGCAACCTTCGATTAGCACGTTTGGCTACGTACGGTGTGAAAAAATTTCAACATACATACAGCCTATTTGATGTGCAATGATTTACCTGGTCCACAGCTTTTGCACTGTGTGCACTTCTCTTCCCAATTGTCTCTGTCCATGAAGCTGCCCGTAGGGCATAGATCACATGCCGCTCTACTCCCATTATGTATGCAGCTGTACATCTTGTAGGTACCTGGAGGACAAAGTGGTGTGAGCATGCCAGGAGATGAGAATTCATTTTAAAACTGAGCTGGGAGAAACGTGCGACTGGAGGTTGATTATTTGGGACTGAGACAACAAATATTAAGCACGGGCCTGTTAGGAGCACAGTGGGGCATTGACATGGCCCAGCGTCCACGTATTCACCGATTGTTGCAGAGTAGTTCTATTGCGGTAGGCCAACCTAGGTCTTACTGCGGGTGTGTTAACTGCAGATACTCCATTCCATCTGCTTCACAGTGGACGTGAAATATTCCGAGATGCAATTCGCAAAAGTGGGCTATTGTGTGCCGACATTGTGGTCCGCATTTCCAAGCTGTAAAATAACACCGCAAATTACTCAATTGGGAATACACATAACAGCAACATCACCCCCGATCATGAACCTGCTGTAGACTGTTTATAAGATATGGCATGTTCGGAATAGCCATGAACAACAAATGTCCTAAATACTATTATATTGCCTCAACTGAAACACACTCCAGTGTTTTTTTTCCTTTTATCACGACTTAAACCATCTGTTGGAGCCACTTGCAAAAGCAACGGCCAAGATGGTTGCTTTGTACATCTGTAGAGGGCCAACCTGGCCAGCAAACAGGAATCCCGGTGCCACGATTTTTTTTACACATAGGAGTAGGGGTAGGGTTGTTGTTCCCAGGTGTGATCTGCAAGGCTGTGGGAAGTGGTCCAAGGAACTATTGTTCGTGACATTCAGATCTGTCAATCAAATGGCGAGGGCAGTGAAGTGCTATGAGCCTGGATTGCTCTCTCTGTGTTGCATTACCTGCAGGGCACAACTTGCAACAGATGCCTTGTTGTGATTCGTGGAATCCATCACCACACTCCTTGGCAAGAGACAACTTGTGCAGTAAAGATATCTGTAGGAGCGGATTCACACAACAAAGAAAGATTCGGAGATCGGGGTGGGGGGCAGACCAACCGAACCATAAATATGCGCTGTCTGCTTCACTCTGTGGATGTTAAAGATCTCCTGACGTCATCGCCCCGACTGACACACTCATGCCCATTTGAGTCACCTTGTAGCTACAGGGACAGCTGCCACTCGGGGTAACCTTTTAAATGTTTGAAATACGATGTCGCTTATCCATTATTATTTTCGGTCTTAAAGCCACCCCACTGCTAACCCTACTGTGGAACATGCCCACTCGCACCCTTGCACAACTCCCACCGTTATCCACTCACGCTGCCTCTAACTCAAATCCACTTGGCGTTATGGTTGATTGTGCCCAAGCTGGCAGCTGGAAATGTCCGTGTGATTGTGACATTCGGCATATGCTAGCGGCAGCCAGAGTAATTGGTGACCGAGCGCGATGTCTGGATGCCAAGCTGTGGTGGTGGCTCAAATATAATAGAACCAGAAGTCCCAGGGCAGCTGTGGCAACCGATTTGAAAAGATCCACGACGAGCTGAGAGTTATTGCACCGTTGGCATTAGCATCTTAGTTAAAATGTTAAAGTAAACCCTTGAAGTTGCACGCTTGTGCACGCCACTGCTGGAGGAAGGGCCTCCACTACAGGGAGCTCCAGAGGGTATTTGCCTGGAAGGGGCAGGCAAACCCCCAACTTACCCCACTGCATAATGTTATCCTAGCAAGGATCCATACAGCACCTCATTAATAACGTGAGACCTGCTGATCATAGACTTAACTGCGGCAAACCACTGCTGGGTGGAGAGAGGTTGTAGGTGTAGATTTATATTGAGCCCTATATGGAATGTTCAGTGTGCTAACGATTATACCAAGGCAGTTACCAAGGTAAAAATGTTAGTGCTCTGAACATTTCTATATGTGTTGCAAACTGATAATCAGTTTTTTAATCTTTCAAACAGTTATCAGTACATTTTGACTTAAAACTTTTGTGACTGCAGGAATTCATATTCTATGGTTTTTCGGCAAAGTCACGGAGATCGAAAAAATAATAACAATAAAATAATTTTACAAAGTGAATACAAATATAACGACGTTTCGATCACAACACAAGCGTCAGCGTAATCCATGCGGCGTTCGCAGTGATGTGGGCGCTGTACCATTTCATGGTCGTGAAGCAGGAGCTGAGTTCTCGAACACAGTTCTCGGTTTACAGGTCTATCTACGTTCCCACCCTCACCTATGGCCATGAAGTTTGAGTAATGGCCAATAGGATGAAATCGCCGGTACAAGGTGCCGAAATGAGGTTTCTCCAAAAGGTTGCCGGCCTCCCTCTCCGTGATTGGTTGAGGAGCTCGGTAATCCGTGAGAGCTTCAGAGTCGAACCGCTGCTCCTCCGGATTGAGAGGAGCCACTTGAGGTAGTTCGGGCACCTGGCAAGGATTCCCCGTGGTAGACTCCCCCTGGAACTCTAATGGGCAGCACGTCCCACTGAGCAAAGACCCCGGGGCTGGCACAGGACACGCTGGTGGGAATATGTCGCTTGGCTGGCCTGAGAATTCAGGAAGAGAGGTCTGGACTGCCCTACTCAACATGCTACCGCCACGACCCTAATCACGAAAAAAGGATTGAGAAACGAACAAACGAATAGCCAGTTGGCTTTGCAGACAAATTCCATCCAGTGGCATTTGTTAAGGCAAGAAAACTCTGAGCGGATTTGAACTTATGCCTCTCATCAGCAGTCTGGTTTGTTTAACGAATGTAGCAATTCTAAAAATAAATGCTGTTAATAAGAGCACTCCATATAAACTATGGGGTCCTGTTCAACACGATAACTAATGAGGTGTATACGCTCAGCATGCATTGGCATGGAACATCATGGGTAAACACAATTATACTTAAAAAAAAAACTATAATCTGACTCCACATAGAAGTATAGTCTATTGACCTATTGTCTTTCCATGCCAAGGAGGGTTGATGGATCACGCAGACACTGTTGTGTGCTGTGAGACTCAAGCCTGCTGGGCTCTGAAAAGCTACATTCTTTGCCGACCACTGAGCACATCATTGTCTAGATCCACTGCCTGCTGAGACCCTCATCCGTGCCGCAGCTCTTTGCTTGGCCTACTGCGACTCAATCCTTCTATGGTCTCAAATTACTGGTGATTCGGATATGCCACAGCAAAGCTCCGTACCCATAGGCATGAACGTCGCTGTCGCATCACTCCAGTGCTGCAATCTCTCCACTGTCTTTCTGTCAAGTCTCAGACTCACTGAGGGATTGCATACCTCTCCCCTCTCATCTCACTCTGTTAATCTCCACGCACTCTCCTACCCATCCCCTCTCACTCTATTCTCTTCCACGCATTCTCCTACCTCTCCCCTCTCATCTCTGTTAATCTCCACTCACTCTCCTACCCCTTATTACAGTCTAATCCCATCCATCCACTCTTCTACCTCTGCACTCCCATCTCTTTTCCTGAAGTGCACAAACTTAAACCTGAATGTTTAAGTTACCGTCTGGCCATACAATAGAAGAACAAGCCAAGAGGTAATGCATCTCAGGAGACCGCCTCCAAGATAAACGTCAGCTGTCCGTGTGTATTAGCTTAATTTAAATCTGAACAAAAACTTTACTTACTTACCAAACGCAGAAATGTCTTGAACAATAATCAAAACAGTTTATCTTTTATATCCGATGAATGAAGGAAGTTGCTGTTGTGCAATGGAAACTCAGGGGTCATCAGAGGCGTAGCTAGGATATTTTGCGCCCGGGGACGAACTATAAAATTGGCGCCCTCCCCCCCCCCCCTTTAATCACATTTTCCTATTACATCGAATAAGGAATAACAATTTAAATTTTAATGAAACATTGTATTTAAAGAAGCAAATTTATAGAAATTATATTACATGGCTCACTCAGTCACTGTCGTAGACTGGTTGACATAGTCTACAAAAGATACATTTTTCTTGATTTCACTGTCGCAAACTGGTCAATCACGTAATCAAAATCTGTTTTTTCCAATGTTTCTCTTTCAACGCTAAGAAGAGCAAGATAGCTGAGACGATCTTGTCCCATTGAAGCACGCAATTACGACGAAATAAGTTTCAATTTGCTGAACGACCGCTCACAGCTTGCAATTTAAACTGCTATTGTTAATAAAATTTGCAATGAAATTCGCAAATTCGGAAATATGTCGTCTCCATAAAACACAATAAAACCAAGAAGATCCAAAGGAGTTTCTGGTAGAACTTCATTCCGGTTGCTGAGCAGCATTTTGCAATCTCCAATTTCTGTGAAAAATTCGTGGCCATTGATGTCGGTGTCATAGAAATTTCCAAAATCTGTGCAATTTCGACGAATTGCATCGACATCTATGTCGGATAGAAGAGTTTTGACGTCCAGCAGAAATCCAAATTTCGTGTTCAGGTCTTTTAGTCGTAAAAACCGTGTTGACATCTCTTGTCGAAGTCGATAAAATACGCTCTTCATAACGCGCACAATTTCTTCTTCTGCTGAAAGTCCTGCATTTCTTGCCAGGTCTCCTGGCATCTTCTGACGTCGCCTAATTCTTGTCCACATCGATCCCCCAGGCTGTGCATCTTATTTTGGCGTTTTCTACAGCAACTTGGCTCAAATCATCACGAAGCTTGACAAATTCATGCTCCAAAGATTCAAGATCAGTTGCTGCTTCCTTGAAATTCATAGTAGGAACCTGTAAGCGCTTCTGAACACGATACATTTTTCCAAGAATGACATTCCAGAAATGTAATAAAACTATGAAGTTAAAATGTAATACGCATGCCTGTAACTTGTCTGCATCACTTCTGGTTTCAGGCGTCATAGTTACGTCCTCCGATAATTTGTCTAACAGCCATACTAGTTCATCCAGTCCTTCATAGATAGCTTTAACAGCTTCTGATTGTGTACTCCAGCGTGTTTCAGACTCCCGCTTTACTGTGATGGGCACAGCTTTTTTTAACTCTTCCCAACGAATTGTTGAACGAGAGAAAAACAAATATATACTTTCAACTGTTCCAAAAAATGTGACGACAAGTGGATCCTGTTTAGCTGAGTGTACTCCTGCTAAGTTTAAGCCGTGGTTGTCACAGTTGACAAACAGTGCTCTGTAATTTTTGTCACATATTCGTTGTTGAAGGCCGGATATATGCCCAGTCATCACAGCAGCATTGTCATAACATTGTGCCCAACATTCGGCTAGAGGTATGTTGTCAGATTTCAGTCTCTCGACAATGACTCTTTTTAGGCTTGCTGCATCTTTTGCATGTATTTAGATATAACCTAAAAATTATTATTTGATAGTTACTTTTTTAGTTTGAAAATCCACATCCACAAATCTTATGACCTGAGAAAGCTGTTCCCGATGTCCTAGATCAGGAGTTGAGTCAAGTAAGATACCGTAGTACTTGTTTTTCCTGATATCACTTAACAATTGGTTCTTTACAGTCGACGCAAGTATGTGGATAAATTCATTCTGGATTTCCGGTGACAAATAAGAAACTGATCCCGGATTTTCTCCTGCGTGCTGAACGTGTTTTGCTAACAATGGGTCATACTGAGCAACGAGTTTGATCAGCGCGAGAAAGTTTCCAACATTTTTATCCTCATCCGCATTCAAATTTTCCTCATGGCCACGTAGTGCCAAATTTTGTGAAACCAGAAACTTAATACACGTGAGTATCCTTTGCAATATATCTCGCCAACGTTGTTTTTCCAAATGAATCTGAGCTTGAACCACTGCGTCAATTCCAGTACCATCAATTATCCTTCGTTCGGCTTCCTTCCGTGCAGTGGCTAGGATTGTTTTCATGAGAATTTAGTTTTTCTGGCTTTCTCCACTTGTTGAAACCGTTTGTTAACTCAAACGAAGCTTGTGAGTTTGAACTCGATGATGTAAATAATAGACAACAGAAACAGTAAGCAGCTTTATTGATTGGTGAATATAATAGCCACGAACCATTCACTTCCTCTCCGTTCGCTAGTCGGCGTTTAAACCATGCTGATGTAATTGAACGTTATCTGGATACTGATGATAGATTGACTCTCTGCTGAAAAGGCAAGGATCCGAGAGTAATCATTTCATTGCAAAGAGGTTGTGATATTTTCGATAGCTTTGTCGTTTTATCAAATTCTAAGTAGCCAACATCGTGAAACCTTAGTACAGCAGGATCAGCATCATAATGAGTATTTTCAGCGTCTCTATCAGAAGATTCTTCTATCTCATCTTCCCCGTTACTGTCAACAAGTTCATCATCATTTCGTAGTTTCCGCCACCAAAAAACAGGCCAGTGACTAAGGCTGAAAGACTGCGCCTGTTTGTTGTTTGGGACGTTCTTCCATGTAAGTTCTTAATAGGCGCGCGTACCAAAATGTAATTACATGACATGTATGCTGTGTGTGGCGGGATATATCAACTTTTAGGTTGAGGTGTAGATTTGTGCAGTAGTTTCAGGCTGCCGCGCCCGCCTCAATAAGTTCTGATGTGACGTTGTAAGCCTCATTTTGGCGCTCCCCTTTACCTTGGCGCCCGGGGACACGTGTACCCCCCTGCCCCCCCCCCTCGCTACGCCTCTGGGGGTCATTCACAGGTGGCTGTGTGGAGCCATGTATTTCTCATGAAACGCAATCAACACTCAGTTGCAATGTACAACGCGTTGCTAGGCGAGTGGTGCTATAAGTTTATATGGGGTGACGATGGGGGAATTTTGGGGACCCTGTGGGAGGTGAGTGATGCTGCGGTGGCGAGTTAATGTGATTGGTGGGGTGTGGAGGAGAGTGGTTCTGTTGTTGGCCGGTGATGGGGTTTATATGTGATTGGTGAAGTGTGGAAGTGAGTGGTCATGTATGTAGGTGAGTTGCAAGCCTGGTTTAGTCACAGCTCAGTCTAAATTTGTCTCTATATAAGACTGCCTCTTTATAAGTATACTCTTCTCTCAGTCTATGCGTTTATGTCAATCTATGGGTCTCCATGTAAGTCTTTGAGTCTCCGTGCGAATTTACGCATCTGTGTAAGCCTAAGCATCTTGTTGTGAATCTTTTTGTCTGTGTGCGAATATATGGATCTCTATACATTGATATATAAGTCTTTGGTGACTGGGCTTGAGGATTCGGTGTAGTCGCAGGTGGCTGAAATCTGGATTCGAACCCAGGTCCTCAGTGACGCGGTAACCCCTTTAACTGACACATTACTGAGAGAATGCGAGTGGTCGTTCTCACCATGAGCAGGAGTTTCACTCCCATCGTGAGCCCCGCCGGGTTCCTCCGCGAGGTCATGACGCTCCCCTCTCCACGCCGCAGACTCTGAGACTCCTCCGTCCCTTGTCCAGCTCTTGTCCAGCTCAAAATGCGAGTCCGCAAAGTGCGACCGTCATTTCCTGGCCTCGACGTTCTGCGGTGTTCTTCGCAGGCATCTGTTGAGAATGAACATCGCGCTGGATTGTTATTCCGAATTATTGGATCTTTTTCCTGAAGATGCTTGATGATGGTTTTTATTTGATGTCGTTTTCAATTATTGTATTTGAGCATACCCCTAACGTCCCAAAAGGGGAACTAAGTGCTCCACCCCAGATGTGACGACGATTCTAACTAACCAATGGGGACTAGGCTCTAAAGAAAGCCGTCTCGGGTGTGGACCAATCAACTTCAAGGACAGTGCATATTATTATCATTATCAGAGTTGCTTCTTTTTGTTTGCTTTTTTGACTACTTGTGTTGTGGTTATTGCAAACATGATGCCTTGAATAAAGGTGTCAGTTTTGTACCAGTTTAAAAGGGTAAAAACCCACTACTAGATTCTAACTTTGGCTGAATTTGTGCTTTGTACAGGAAAAAGATTTCGATACCAAAAAGGAAATGGCACAGAAAATAAAAGCAAGGTTCTTGCATGCCTCGTATGTACATATGTTGAACTTCTTTTGCACCGTACATAGCCAACCGTGCTAACCATATGTGAGATTGTTGTTATAACAATATTGCCAGATACGAATATTATTGTTAAATATGATGTAAGGGACTGTAATGTCTGAAGTTGCCAGCCTTGCATTATACCATTGACTTCGCTTGATATTATCATTAATATATTGTCATAGCCAAGACAGACTGCCATGTCCATTATCTCACAAGCTCCTGGGTGCAGAAACCATAGCCCTTGCTGCAATGGGCACAAACTTCTACAACTTTGCCAATCCTTTACCGGTTGATCTCACGTTGTTGGAGGGATATTTTCACCGCTTGAGACTCCAAATAAATATTTCCAAATACACGGCAAGCACGTTCCTCCTGAACAATCACGCAGCAGATACCGCCACCCTTCACGTGTCCTTCTGAGGTAGCCCAGTACGCTATGATCCCCAGTCCAAGATATCAAGGGATTATCATGGATAGAACTGTGACCTTCAAGGCTCAACATGAAACAGCTCTGTGAAATTATCAAATCAAGAATCGCCCTGCTAAAAAATAAAAATTTGCAGGAACAACTTGGAACGCCTCAGCCGATGTGCTGCAAACTGCCACCCTCTCAACGATCTACTCAGTGGCAGAGCCAATGCCCTCCAGCCTTGTCCGGGTGCATGTGCACACAATTTCGAGATGCACAATTAAGTAACGCAATGCGCATCATGGCTGTAACTATGACCCCGACACCAATCCGTTGATTTCCCTGTTCTGACGATCATTCTGCCACCAAATATCTGCATGCAAACTGCCAAGGAGTTTACAAATTTTCTTGCCAATGACCACTGTTGCATATATGCCCTTTCCAAAAATATAAAAATTAAGAGTGATATTGTTTATTTTGAATGTCATAACTCCTTGTAGACATACAGTGTAGACAAGTTTTCTGAAAACCGAAAGTATAATTGGCATTATAACAATCACCAGAGCTGACAATGGGTCTTGTGAAGTCGTAGTATATTTAGCTTTCCGAGGAATTAACCAAACTCATGTAGAATAATGGTAGGCCAAAGAGGACATAACCCTCGCCTGGGCAAGGAGTGACTCAGGTACATTTCTGAGAGATACGTTTACGGACAGGGGTCTGGCATCAGCGTCTCCAAAGAAGTCGGCAGAACAGGATGCGAAAGGAAGGACCCATGACAAAACACCATACACTCGCTGCCCACCCGATAGAAACAAGAATTTTCTAAACGAGAAATGTACGTACAGGGTCAGGCATCAACATCTCCAAAGGACAGAGCAGAACAGGATGCGGAAGGGAGGACCCATGGCAAAACACCAAAAAACTGCTGCCCACCCTAGGGCAAATGAAGGGCAAAGAGACTAGAATGTCCATTGCCGTTTCAACGGCTGTCTGAATTAACAAACACTGGTGCCTAGAAAGTTGGAACGCTCAAAATGACAACCACTGCATATGAATCATCTTAAACATCGCGGTACTACAATCTAATAACAGGATGTATTGGTCTAAATGGCAAAATAACACACAGCGTTTACCGAAAGGGAACGCACACTGATGCCTATCTGAATGCAGATTCACATCATCACCCAGCTCAGAAATTCTCTCTTATCAAGTCACTCATACATCGGGCTAAAACAGTGTCAGATGGTGAAAGTCTAGTGAGAGAGATTAAACATTTTAAAGAAGCACTACGACAGAATGGCTAAAATAATGCTCAAATTAACAGAGCACTGAATGCCAAATCACGAACGCAAAGCAACACTGCTGAAAGCGATCAGATTGTTAAAACAATTAAAATACCATTTATCTCAGGAGTAACTGACAAATTAGCCCGTGTTTTGCAAAAGCAAAACATCAAAGTAAGATTTGGTACCGTACACAAAATTCAAAAATTAGTATCTTGCACTAAAGATGAATTGCCTAAGTTATCAACAAAAGGTGTGTATCAGATAAATTGCGTACGTGGCATATGCTATATTTGACAGACGGGACGTAACATTAGCGTAAGATTAAAATAACACCAAATAAATATTAAATAATCTCAAACACAACTGGTGGCAGTTGCAGAACATGCTTGCCAACAAGGACACTCAATTGATTTTGATAACGTTGAAGTGTTGTGCAAAACTAATTATTACTGTACTCTGTGGTTCTTTCGGTAAAGTCATGTAGGTATAAAATAAAATAAATCACGACGTTTCGGGCGCAACACAAGCGTCCGTCATCAGGTGGGAAAGCGCGGTCTGCTGCTGAGGCAGACTGTTTTAAAAGGTTTGGATGGGTGTAGCCTAAGGGTCATATAGAAGTGGCCGGGGCTAGTGATGTTAATGTGATAAATTAGCATGTAACTGTAGAAAAGAAGGAAAGCAGCCTCCTAGACGAGGGCACGGAAGTGGCTATGTTAATGTGAGATATTAGCATGATGTTAATGTGAGAGATTGCCATGATGTTAATGTGAGAAATTAGCATGATGTTAATGTGAGAGATTAGCATGTAACTGTAGAAAAGAAGGTGAGCGGCCTCCTCGACGAGGGAGTGCAACCCAACGGATGTAATCCAAACGGGCCTGTGAGTATGTGAGTGCAATCCAAAAGACATGTGACCATGAGAGTGCCATCCAAAGGCAAGAGAGTGCAATGCAACGGACATGTGAGCATGAGAGAGGCACAGAGAGAGATACAGAGAGTCGAAATAACAGCTGACATAGGCAGGTATGATGGAAACATCACAGTCAGTTGAGACTTTACCTGGTTATAACGTCCTTCCAATGATTGCTCAGTTTGTACCCATCCTCTCGGTTGAAGTTGTGTCTGTGTTTATATTTCTGGATGGCTTCATGAACAAATCTCTGAAGGTAGTCGGTAGGTTTGCAGAGTACCTCCGTCTTGGAAAAATCTATTTCGTGTGAGCCCACAGCGTTAAAACAATGATCGGCAATGGCAGAGGTATTGGTCCTACCATGTTTCAGATCTGTTTTGTGTTCACGGACGCGGTCCGAGACATGTCGTTTCGTTTCCCCAATGTAACTGCTGCCGCAACCAAAGCTCAGTTTGTAGACACCAGGGTATTGCATGTCAGGAATCACATATTTTACAGATGGGATTAAATTAAGGATTTTGTGTACTGTATTTAAACGAACCTGGATGTTGTGTTTGTTTAAGATTTTGGAAATCTTTTAGGTAAACCCTGCAACGTACGGTAAAATGATGGGTTTGGTTGACCACGATTAATTAGAGAATCCATTGAAATTGAGAGAAATACAAATACTTTTAACCGCTCTGACAGCTACAGGCTTAGTGCGACCTGCAAGCGTATTATTAAATCATACATCTTATAATTTGAAATTTTTAGGAAACACATACGAATTTACTCATTACTAACATATTATTACGATTATTATAAGCCATGAATGTGTGTGTGTGTCCCGCGTGACGTCACTCCACATGAGGCCCACCCCCCTCGCGACGTCACTCCCCATGAGGCATACTCCCCTTCATTAATATTCATGAGTGGGTGGATTTATACAGGAAGGTCGAGCTGAATTCAATAATTTATTCTGCAAAGTCGCTTTAAATATGACGTTTCTTTACAGAAAGTGACGGTAATAAATTAGTCTAAGCAGCGCAGTGTTACATCCGTACATGACGTCGCTGCACAAGAGGCCCCCCGTCATTAATAATCATGAGCGGGTGGATTTTTACACTCTCGCAGAAGAAGGTTGAGCGGAAATAAATATTTTTACGCAAATTCGCTTTCAATTTGACGTTTTTTTAATTGAAAAATGTAAATTACTAATATAATGAGCCAAGAATGTGTGTGTGTCACGTGCGTGATGTCACTCCACATGAGGCCCACCCCCCTCATTAATATTCATGTGTAACAGCGTAAGTAGCGTAGGAGACGCTTGACGGAGGCAACACGTATTTATTAACAAATGGGTACTATACAGTACGTAGCGCACCCTAACACTGGAAGGGGTAACGGCCCCTTCACCCAGTCTATCCGAGGCAGTGTCCCTCGGCTAACGTTTCCCCGTTAGCTCCTACACCCCTCTAACCCAGACCATCCTATAGAGGCTAACTCACCTGGCCCAGCTTCGGCTCAGGTCCGACACTCAGCCACACGAGCCTGGCCCTCACAAGGACACAGACCTCGCTGCTCTGAGGTCGCCCCTGGCTTGCCCTGCTCGGCTCTTACAAGAGCAGCGAGTCAGGGCAGTCCCAGGGCTAGCTAGCTGGTCTTCAGTCTTCACTGGCTCTTCTGCTCCAACGACTGCCTCGAGCTCTCTCGCGCACCGCCTTATATACCCAACTGCCCCCCGAGGGGCGGGGCTTTATGCGGCCGTTGATGTAGACACCCCACGCACGGACCGTGATGTAGACACCGCAACGTAATGGGTTGCTACACCCCGGTACGTAACATCTCTACACATGGATGGGTGGCTTTTTATTATCAATAATATTAGTCGCTAAAGCCTACGTTAAA